TACACATAACGCCAGTTTACGAGAATTTATTGAGTTCATTACTCAAAATAATGTTTCTATTATCGACATTGATTTATTCATATAAATGGTAAAGATAGTTTTAAAAATATTAAAATGTGATACAGTTAGAAATGCCATCCTTGAAGATTCTTTAACCGTTTGAACGTTTTATGTAATCACATTTAATTTATTTTGCACCCAACAAAGCTTATTTAGAAATAGTCAATATTTTGATAAAAATGAGTGCTTTCTTTCCATTTGTTTGGTCTATAAATTTCTAATCTATGCGGGGATGTTATAAATGCAAACTGTTGAGTCTAGTTTGAACTGTCACAAAAAAAATTTTCCGATAAACCCATATTTTAAAAAAGCATAATAGCTCATTCGTGTGCAGCAAATCTAAAATTTGAATAAAACTACATTATATTTCCACGACAACACTACAATCGACATTGACTTCAAGAAAAAAATACCCATATAAAATCTATAAAGCAATATAAACTGTTACTCATAATATTGTTTCCTATTTATTGCACCAAACTACTTATTTGGGTACCTACGGTTAACAGATTCACAAAAAATTTAGTGCTTTAAACCTAAATATAATAATACTGTCAAACTATGGAGAGTCAAGGTTATAAAATAATTATAAATCATCTGATTGGTTTTGAGTAGAAAGGACTGGCGAATACTTACCTGTAGAACACTATTAGCCTTAGTGGTTCCCAAACATTGTGACAACGTGACCAAAATGTTTAGTTGATTCAATTTTTATGACCCATACAAATTAACTAATACATGTTAGAAAAATCGATATTGATAAAGAATAATGTAATAATTTTAAACTTTAGGTATCATATTGTAACTACATTACAAATTGTAATATATTATTAAATTTAATAAAAAAATAAAATTATGAGGTTATACGCTGGACCCACTTGTGGGTCACGAGACACGATCCATAAATTGAAAAGCGCTGCTAGTAGTCCAATATTAAGGATAATGTAAAAAATAAATGAAAAAATGTTATTAGCTTTTTTATTTATAAATTGATTTTAAATGTTAAAATACTTTTTTTTGTTATCAAATTTTAAAAAAAAATTGTATTATGTGTAAGCATTGTTGAATTAAAAAAGGTATCAAAAAAATTAAATTATATTATATTAACACAATCAAATTATAAAAACCAAGAAAAAAGTTTTACTTTATGAATTTCTCAATGTACCTACCTACTATATTAAATTTTGCTTGCAATATATAAAAAATAAACTACAGTTTAATTAAAAAAAAAAATGTACCCCACAATTTTCATATTTTAACTGTACAAATTCACAGTACAATACCTCTCAGGGTTAAATTTTTCGGTAACGAACAAATTGATTAAATATTAGAAATTATTATTTGAAATATTTTGAATACATTTGATACGTATACAATGAAGTTTAATTCAGCTAGTTAGCTGAAAATTATTATTCAGTAAATATATAGAAGTTGAATCAAATCAAAATCAAAAAAATTAATTTTAAAGTTAGACCAATCATAATAACCGTTTGTTGGTTATAAATTTCAAATTTTGATTCTACCCATGCTTTATACCTATATTAAGACTAATAGCTATATATTACGCATTCGTTTACACACTACACATAGTACCTATAGATACTCACAATATTTATATACAAATCTGATTGGTGATCAATGATCATACATATTTAAATAGGTTTTATGAAAATCTAAAAAATTACGTCTGGGTATTAGACCTGTAGGTTAACGCAGAAATAGTGAAAACCTATATACCTATAATAAACCTCTTATATACCTATACTATTTAAAAAACTTGGTATATAACAACTGCAAGATTGGTAATATTACTATTTTTTTTTTCGGTCAGTGTGCTTTTTATAATCTATGTGCTATCTATATACAGAAATAAATACGTCATTTATTTTGATAACATAACTTTATGTTCTTACGAAACATCCCAGACTATTATGTTTATATGCACTCATACATAATAATTAATAATCAATATTGGATAAATCTGGTCTTTAGGTATACGTACAATTATTTCATAGGACGATTGGGAGAGAGGGTTAAATTAAATACATTTACATTAAAAGATATTTCAAAATAAACTTTCAACAGTAATTACTGTACCACATATTATTATAAATGTGCCTAAAGTAAGAAGCTGAAAAAGTGGTCTATAATAATGAAAATATATTTTAGTTGATATTGATTATTAATTTACTGCTAAAATGTTATTGAACATTGAACATCAATACTTGTTGAAGGGAATAAACTACCATCAACCAACTGATCCGTGTTTTCGCTGGTTTATGGATTGTGTGCCTTACAGTCTACTCGGTCCAATTTAAAAAATCTTTTCTAACACTTATATGTTAACACATTGAAATAAATCACACTAAAATCATACATTTATAGTAAATAAAAATCTTATCACATATTATACAAACAAATTTTAAATAGAATTATAATTTGTTTTGCGTCTCTCATAGAAATGTCGATTAAGATCACGAAAATCAATAGAATTGGCTAATTTTTATCTAACTATATAGATTTCCACCGTACATATAATTTCATAATAATAATAAAGATAATGTAATAAAATAACTCACCTGTATTTAAATTATTAATTCATAATATTTCATAATGTACCTCCATGATATTATTATTTTTTACTTATTTATTACTGCATAATATACTGAAACCTAAAACAATAATTACTAGACAACAATATTATCTAACTACATAAACATAATTAACATTATTTGGCTTAAAATTAAATCTAGTTTAATGATAGAGTGGACATGGGAAAGATTATTATGTATGGTTCAAAGACTTCAAACTTACGAGTTATGAATATCCCACACATTCTGCTAAAATCATTATTATTTAAACACTTAAACATAAATTGTCAATATCTACCCTACAATGTATACTATTCCAATTATTTATTTGACTAAAAAATATTATTATTATTTACGTCTAAAAACGAATTATCACTTATTTATTGTTGTATTGAGTTCAGAGTTGTCAATTTTAAATTACACAAATATTTCCTTTATTTTATATAATACATTTTTACCAGTTTTTTATATTATACTTTTTCATTTCTCGAATGTATTATTATAAGCATACAAACATTTAAATATACAATACACATTACATATACCTATCAGTACTTAGTTAAATTATAAATGAATTGAATTATATCTTAAGCATTCTGTATACTGTCTGTATCTATATTTTTAACTTCCATAAATTATCTATAAATAGTATTTTATTAATGAGATTAAAGTAAATAAATATTTCACTATGTCGTAATAGTAACTGTTTAATAATGGCTATAGCTAGGTCGAGTTCAGTGATAAAGTACTTATTAGTGTGTGGTTTTTACGATGATCGATTCGTAATTATCTTTATATAGTAGTAACGATCAAATTACCAATTGATTGTCGAATACTGTATAAACATCTTTTAATCCGTTAACTTATTTATTTTTCTACAATATAATATATACTATATGTGTCTCTATATAGTATTATACTATGGTAAATATGAACTACAAATCTATTTATTAATGTAAAAAGGGTGTATGCTGTATGAATAATAATATAAGTCGGTAGGTAGGTAGTTAAGTATTATTTTAAGTGTTATTTTTTATTGAACAGATGATTAAAATAAATTGTATAAATAACATCAATAACGGTGATAGCATATAATCAACATTATACTTTTAATGTTGATGATAAATTTTAGAAAGCCTCAATGCCTCATCAATGTTTTTCTCAACATGAGTGTTAAGGTTTTTAATTCATAAGGTCTGTGACTACAACAGTGGGAAATGATTAAATCCAAAGAAACTTTGTTTATTCAATTGCGTGTACTCACATTAAAAATACCAATTCATTTTTGAATGTGTTGTTTAAATACTAATTATTATTGTCTATTTAATGTATAGTAATTAAAGTAGTATTGGTTATATATGTTGTTTGTATTTTATTTGTACAATAATCTAAAGTACCGCCAGTTTTCTGTTTATCAATAGGTATAGGTAATACACTAATATTGACTTTTCGGTGGTTTAATAAAGCAATATTATAGATTTGGATAAATCATTTTTGGCCAGAGCAACGGAAATATAAATTGTACCTACCTATACTTCATGTTAGACATTTGATTGTGAATGTTGACTACCGTCTATCATTAAGTCAACGGCTATATTGGAGAATTATACAGCTGCAGTGCCCGCGATATCATAATGTTATAACTTATAACATAAAGCTTTCTGTAGGTTGTTTGTTCGTACAGAGTATACCAGATCTATAGAATGAATGCAGATAAGCATTTTCGATATTGGCAGTGAAGAGAAATATGATAAACCTATACCATAAATAAATCAAATACTATAAAATATAAACAATAATGCCCGGAACACTTAAATAATTCAATATTAATAATGACGACCTTGAATGATTTTAGTCCTTAATACATTAAAATATTGTCTTTTGTAAAATCGTAACCGCACAAATATAATTCCACAAACAATTCAGCTAACTCGTCGTATTTAATAGCAAAAATTATATTTTACCAAAACATATTAATGTATTATATTTAAATATTATTATTATTATTATTATTATTATATTTTAAATCCTTATATTATAATATATATTATGTGACCACGCGAATATGGTGTATATGTCTTGTTGAAAATTCGCTTAACATGATATGTAAAGTGTATATCCATATTTCGATTCGAAGTTATGTTTAAACCGAAAGTCTCTGGGTGACGTGGTTTCCCTAGGGAAATCCGGAAAAGTATATAAGTACATACAAAATTTCGTATGCGTGTAGGTCGTATCGTATATATATTATTTCTATAATATACCACCGATACAATATAATATAATATACTACGTGTGTATTATTGTATACTAAACCGGTGCTTTTGTTCGTTATAGGCTGTCTCAGACATGGGAAGCGAGCACTACTGTCTCCGGTGGAACAATCATCAGAACAACCTGTTGGGCGTATTCAGTCAATTGCTCCAAGAAGAGTCCCTCGTGGACGTGACGCTCGCCTGTTCGGAAGAAGGCCGCCTGATCCGCGCCCACAAAGTCGTGTTATCCGCGTGCAGCGCGTACTTCAAGGCACTGTTCCTTGACCATCCGACACGCCACCCGATCGTGGTACTCAAAGACGTTCAGTTCTCTGAACTCCGTGACCTGGTCGAGTTTATGTACCGGGGCGAAGTGAACGTCGACCACAGACAGCTGACCACCCTGCTGAAGACGGCCGAGAGCCTTAAGGTCAAGGGGCTGGCCGACATGGCTCGCCCCAGTGACGGCGACGACGACACCGTCGGCGACCGCGTCGAGCTGGTGCCCGCCGACCGGGACGACGAGCCCATGGAACCGGAAGACCTGCGGCCGTTGAGCCGGTGCCGGACGCCGGTACCGGCCGAGAGCCGCACCCCGTCGCCACCTCCCACCGAGAGCGACGACAATCTTTCCATGCAAAGCGAACCCAGCGACATGACCACTGTCTGCAGGCACGACGACCAACCGTCCCCGTCCGGTTCCGGTCTGCCACCAGTTCAGCAAGTACCTTTGGTAAGCATTTCTTACACAATATATTCAAACGGTTCTCATATATATGCCTGTATCCCTTTTGCTGAAATTGTGTATTCCGCTTTTCGTTTATGTCATCATGACCTCCTCTGGGAGGTAATATATCGAATATCGATATCGAAGAGATCATTTTTGACCTATATGTTCAATAAACGATATTTCTTTTTCACGATGTAGACACGACGATCACGTGCCGCAGTAACAAACATAATCATAATAATAAGACCTAGTATCATGAGTCGTCACACAATTTTCGACAGTTTTAATATTATTTTTGTAAAAACTAGGTGTAAAGACTTATTTTATTTTTCATTCGGTCAGCTTCTTTTAATATCGATCGTTTCTCTGGTGGTGTATGCGTGTTACGTATATATGGGTGTAAAATCCCCATCACCGATCAAAGGAACTTATATCTATCGGCCCCTGTAATTGGATTACGTTGAAAAATATATCAGATGATTTCATTCGCTCGAGTTAGGCGACCCGTAAACTTCTCGGATTACGTTTAAGAACAATGTAAAGGTGAGAAAACAATACCATTCGATCTCAGGTAAACATTCAATATGGCGAGAAATCACTAGCGATTGTCTTTAACTTGTTATCGCCCTCCAAACGTATATTTTACACTACCCTATACTTCCGTTATTATAAACGCGTGTCAAGGGTGTCAATTTTAATTTTGTAGCACATCATGACTTCTCTGGTAAATTGTATTTGTACAATGCAGCACTCCAATAATATTATGATGTGTATACGTGCGTGCGCAGTGTTTATCATGTGATTTAGTTTATCTTAGTAAAATCATAACAGATACCTATTTAACATTACACTGTGAACAACTTTATTTATCTCCGGAATTTGATATTTTGAACCTAATCAAATAAATATAAAATATTAATATAGCCCTCAACAAATCAAATGTAATGCTTTTATAAAATACATAGGTATGTGTAATTAATAATATTTGATTGCTTGTATACATATTGTACCTACATTTTTCAATAGAACATTAAATAACAAATAATTTATTTTTTAATTCATTCGATTGTGTTAATAATGAACAGACCTGAAAAATAAATACATTGAGATTATCGATTATATGATTCCATTTCTTCAAAACAACAGTACTTTAATGCACTTTACCAAACGTTTATGTTTTCAACATTTCAGAAAGATTTACATTTTATATATTCTCTTTTTCTCTTTTTACTGTTAATAATTTGTCAATTAATTTTTTTAATTACATTTTCTGATTTTTTGCGTTTGAATATTTTTTTAACCAATGCTCACTATAAAGAATATCAAATTCAATTCTTATTATACCCATAGAAAGTATTTTTAAATTATAACGTAACATTTTAGTATATAGTACAATAATATATCTAAAATCATTGATATTTTAAAATTAATTTTTGTAAGTTTTAAATTTTAGATTCTGAGTGGAACGATGAATGAATCGATTTTACAATTTATTATGAGTGTTATTTTATTTTTCATGACTGTTATCAGATTTTAGGGCAGTAAATATGTTTTGATTTTCAACTTTGAAGGTAGATTATGAGTTGAAAATTGGATATAGTTGGTACTTTGAGAGGTCAAAAGTAAAAATGTAATAGTAGTTTTCAAAACAACCAGAAAAAACAAAAAAAAAAAAATTTAAGAAAAAACTTGAACTTTTATGCAAAACCAGTTTTTTGTGAGACTTACAATATATAAATGTGGATACTTACAATTTTTACAAAATTGATATGTTAATATTTTATTCTATGTATCGTTTAGTTTCATTCAAAATAGTGTGACTCTGTTTGAGGTACCTAAATATTATAGATTTTTATATAAAAATTTTTTTTAGTATTTTCATCAAATGTCGATAAAAAATTTATTGTAATGTCAAGAAACTTGATAATTTAATACAAGGTTTCTCAGAAGATTTTGTTGTTCATATTTAAAAATATAAAAAAAATACTGATTTACTATGGATTTTTAATAAGTATTTGAAATTCAAATGTGGACAAAATTCGTCAAAATCACGAAAATATGTTTATCATTTTGTTGTTTAAAATTTAAAAATAGGTGACAAAGGTGACAAGCGGGAATTCATTGTTGTACAGTACCTAAGTGTCAAGTAGGTCACTACTCACTATTATGGATGTGTTGAATTGGAATTCAATGATATAATATCATTGTGCGTATACGAAAAACTATTCTGGAATAAGTTTGTTAGGCGAATTAGTAATTTCCTACTAAAGTACTAAGTATATTTTATGATATTATTGCTAATAAAATAATTTATTTTACTATTAATAAAACAGTATATCTTTAAGAATTTTTTGGTTACAGTATAAACTTCTTATGAGAAACCTTGTTTGAAATGCTCAATCCATATCCATCCAATATCCATAGAAATTGAACATAAAATTATGGTTTTTTTTTTTAATTTTTTGTTGTAATAATAGTTGAAAACGTATAAGTAATCTTGCGTTCAATTTTTAAATCTTAAGAAAATTTCGTGATTTTAAAGAATATATTGTCAACATTCTTACTTCAGAGTTCAGATACTCATAAAAAATTATTGTGAATTATACCCAACTTTTTTTATATAAAACTAATAAAATCTTCCAAGGAACTTGTATTACATATTTAAGTTTTTTGACCAAAAAGGGCATTTTTTTTATCGTCAATAATTTGAAAAAAAAAGAAAATTTCTTATGCCTGTATAAATATGTATCTTAAAAACAGTCAATAAATTTTGAGAATGTTATGGCGTGTATAAAACGGTAACATAAAATGTAAATACAGTGGAATCTCAATAACTCGAAATTTACGGGAAATGAAATTTTTTACTTGTCGAGGTTTTCGGCTCACTAAGGTTATGTTAACTTTGGTTAGGTTAGGCAAGAGAACGGAATTTATTTCGACTTATTGAGGTTTTTGATTTATCAAGCCTATCAAGGTTTCACTGTATTTGGTGAAAATTTCATGTATCTTCGGTTTTTTTGTTTTTAGTAAAGTAAAAAAGAAAAACGATTATTGTCAAACTGGTTAGGTTTTCCTTAATTGTTTTTGTCTTTTTCTGATGCTTTTATACCTGCTGCTAGGTATTATTCCTGATCTCTTCTATTAGATTCATTTTCCCACCAGAAAAAATAATTAAGTTAAAAATCAAAGCATAATTACGACTACTGTTTATCGTGTAATCTTACACAAAAATTAATAAAAAAAAAACAAAACAATCATCCATCATTGTACTATCATTGTAATATCAATACATTCATCTCTCGAATCAGAATCTTAAATGTTAATTTTTTTATAGCTAAGACTGGAAAATTTAATTCAAGGTTCATCGTTAATAGTTTATATTATATTAGAACTCCGACCAAAAAATATAAAAACACTTTTTATTTTATAGATTATTTTTAATTAAATATTCAAACAAAGAATAACGAGTTTAGTTATTTTGTTGCAATTTAAAATTATTATTATTCGTAATTCTTGAAACTTTTAACATGCCTATATTATTATATTTTTTACACACAATGACAATTCAAAATGTTGTATTTTTGAAAAAAATTAATTCAACCTACTTGATTATTACTAGTTAAATAAATTACGTCTTCAATAATAGCAATATATGTATATCATAAAATATACTTAAGTAGTAACTTATAGGTTTTCAGTTCGTCTTCGCTCATAATTATTTTTACACTTTAACGTATAAATAATGAATAATGAATTATCATTGAATTCAATATTCAAATATAACACCTACATTATAGTGACTTACTCAATGATAGGTACACTCGACAACCTACTGTACTATTTTAGATTCTGAGTGGAGCGAGGAAGCTAGTATTGTTTTACAATGGTGTTTTTATTTTTTTTTTATCCTGTATACAAAATTTCTACCAGAAGGAGTGCTTTGATTTCAACAAATAGTACCTTATCTTTTAGAAAATTGGATCTAGATGGTTCTTTAAAGAGGTCATTTTTGGATTTTCTCAATAGTTATTTAATGCCACTGGAAAAGCCACCGACACATTACGAAAAACCACTAAAAATGGGATTTTAATTTCTAATTCTCTGTTTATTGCCATAGAAACGAATTAAAAATTATAAAATATCCAGACTGCCAAACCGTCTCCGCTCAAAATCGTTTTTTGCATACAATGATATTATATCATTGAATTCAAGTTTAATACAATCCCTTATACATTGACCTACTTATAACCTACTGTACAGCAGAGTGACATCCACTTATCCGATTTTTTTCTTTTACTTTTCGTTTTTCCTAAATAATTTTAAGCAAGCTAAATAAACCAAACTCACTATTATTAGTATATAATAATTTGATAAATGTAATATTGGCGTTAATTACATTATTTTATTTGTATACATTTTTAAAACATCAAATTGAGTATCAATGTATACACAACATTTTTCTTCCAATAAAATAATGACATTCATGTAAATCCGCAAAATGTTATTGATGCAAAGTTTTCATGATAATTTCAGAGGGTGGCCTTGAACTTTTTTTGGTTTCAAGTTATCCCGATATATTTCCTCATTTTGCATAATATTATATTATGATCGAATATATAATATGTACCAGGATAATAGATATTTAACATACAATATTAAAGTTTTATATTTAAAACATAATATAGAAGTATATTAGATATAGGTATCCGTTTTATTTTAACATGGTGAAAACTAATTACTTAACGTGTTCAGTAAAACGTCTTAATGTTCAGGCTTTGCGTTTAGGGGCATACTACACATGTCCCCCTAGACAGCAGAAACTACCTCTAAATAATAATTTCTAATATTGGTCTTGTAAGTTGTGCTATCACATTAATCGGTTAGTGGTCACAGTGACTGACTGACGTCTGGCCAACTTGTTAATAATAAAGTAAAATACACCTAAGTTGAGTAAATAGTTAAAAGTAGAATATTTGTACCAAAAGGATATTTCCCCCCCACCC